ACATCAAAGAAGTTACTGAGGGAGTTCGCTGTACAGTCACTAAGGAGATGAATGCAATGCTGACTAAACCAGTGGAGGAGAGGGAAGTGAAGATTGCCTTATTCTCTATGCATCCAGATAAGGCTCCAGGCCCTGACGTTATGTCCCCATTCTTCTTCCAAAAGTACTGGAATATTTGCAAAACTGATATTGTGTTGGCCATTCAAAGTTTTCTATATGGTCGACTTCTGCTCAAAGTTTTAAATGAAACAATAGTGACCCTGATTCCCAAAGTAGAAGCCCCTATTAACTTGTCCCAGTATCGACCTATTTCTTTGTGTAATGTCATATATAGAGTCATTGCAAGGGTGTTGGCAAACAGACTGAAAAGAGTCATCCCAAAATGTATTAGCTATGTCCAATCTGCTTTTGTCCCTGGTAGACATATCCTTGACAATGTTATCCTAGCCCAGGAATTGATTCACTTCTTGAAAAATAAGAGAACAGGCAGAAATGGTTTTGTGACCCTAAAGCTCGATCTATCCAAGGCCTACGATAGAGTAGAATGGCAGTTTCTAGAAAGGATGATAATGAAAATGGGGTTCTACCCCATCTGGGTAGAATGGATCCTAAGCTGTATCACTACTGCAGCTTATTCTTTTAGTGTCTGATAGGGAGATAATTGTACGCTTTATTCATTGATATTTGGTCTTGATTTTGACCATTTATTGTCCAGAGTAATGGGTTTCTGCTCATATTTGGTATTTGTGTTATTTGCAGGCAACCGGTGTTAAAAGTGACAAAAAGAGGCAAATTCCAGAAGACTAGTCATTCCAGAGCATGCCCACGTCAGAGACCGCAGAGATGCGTGAAAAAGACGGACTGCGGGACCTGTCCCTGAAAGCTGCCGCAATTCTTGGGAGATGTGTTTGAAGTTACGTGGGATTAGGAAATATCTTCAAAGAATACCTTTGGCAACAACATAAGGAAGAAAATAAGGAAGCTATCCTTTATGGAAACAAACTCTCGATTGGCAAAGAAAGAGGCGGCGGCGAGACTTTAAATAAGATAGCAGTAGACTAGGGTCTATCATCTTCATCTTTGTCTTTTACTTCTCAATGCAAGTCTTAAACTGGCGGCGATACTCTTTTACTTTTCATCAACAAAAACTCCATGAAAACTTTGAATTGCTTTGTTGTCCTGACTATGCGGCAAGGCTAGATCGTTTATCTAGTTGAGGAGTAATCAAGGCCCAGAGCACGAATAATTGTGAGATCATTTTTTTTATTCTAAATTCTGTGTTTGTAAGTATTTGATTATTCTTTTTTTGAACAGCCTATTATTGTTTGGATTTATTGGATCAATATGGCCAGTTGTTCAATTGCCTAAATAATATATTGCCAATTAGGACAGGGGTGCATATCACTTGAATGTCTTAAATTAGTGGCAAACGGTACCAATTTCATTGCCTCGCAAGCAGTCTAATCTGGGTCGTAAGAATAATTAATCTAGTTTAAATGAACCCGCATGTGTGTTTATTAACTAGAATTGGGTCTCTCTAATTCCTAAACCTATAATTAGATTAAATCGTTCGAGCATCTTTGGGGTTATCTATTTTACAAAAGGGTAGTTTACGAGCGTCTCTGGATTACCATATGATTAAGGAGAGATTGGGAGTTTGGCGGTTGCTAAATTGTTAGAACCAATTTATTTGTGATCCTTGGTATCTATGATCAATTGTGTGAACCGGTGCCGAGATTATCTCCTTAACTAGGTTGTGTCAATTAATTGTTTATTTCATTCTTAAGTTATTGCATTCATTGTGATTGTTCGTTTAGTGATTTTAAGTCTTTAATTTGTTTCATTTATCTCTCTCTCTTTTAAGAATTCTCCAATTATCCATGTGTGATAAATCTACCAGTTCCCTATGGAAACGACCTACTCACTACTATACTCATTCAGTTTTGGGAGTAGGTATCATTATAAATTTTATCTTTGGTAGTTTGACAGCCACCAAATTTGGCGCCGTTGCCGGGGAACTGGTGCTTGAAGTGATTTGTTGCACAAGCTCGTTCCAACTTTTTTTTTCCTAGTTATGGCTGCTAATCTTTCATATTTTGGTGATGAACTGGATTTTATTTCTAAAAGGGCTTATGGGACTTATACCTTTTCTAATTATCAATTGGTTGTTGCGAATTGTGAAAGTTATTTTGCCTATACCCCACATTTCAAAATGGCCTGAGTACTTCAATCGAAACTTTTGGAGATTTTTCACCTCAATATCAGACATGGAGTAACCCTTATTCAACCGGATATGATCAAAGATGGTGGGATAATTTCAATATTAATTATGAACAAAGGCCAATAAGTTCTCAACAGAAAGGGTCTCAACAACCATCATCAATATCAGGTATGTCTCTTGAAAATATGGTTAAATCATTAGCTGATAGCATTTGTCAAATGTGGCAGGACTCGTAGAGATTTCAACAGGAGACATATCAACTTCAGCAGGAGATAATGGATTTTCATCAGGAGACACAAGCGAGCATGCGTAACCTGATAGATCAAGTGAATCAATTAGCATCTAGGATAACGCAATTGACTTCTCAAATGTGTGAAGAATTGTCCTCACAGACTATTATCGATCATGAGAAAGATGAGAGTGCAATTATCCTGACAAATGACATAAAACTGCAAAAGTCTCAAGAAAACAGATCTAAAGATACAGTTGAAAAGAAAGTTAAAGTGCAAGAAATGAGACCCTAACATCAAATTGTTCAAGTGAATAAATCCAGTGAATAATCGCCGAATGTGGTGATATCTCCTCCATTCCTTAATCAATATGCTCTTGATTCTTATTCTTTAATTCCTGTTAGTGAGATTGATTTTATTATACCAGAAAATTTTGAGTTTCATGACAGGAATAAGTTAAGAGTCATGATGACAAAATATCTCGAACTAATAAATGCTCTTGATGGAGGAGTGAGTGAAGACTTAAGGTCATTACTTGTATGTTTGGCACCATCTACAAATCCATGGAAGACCGTACATCGTGTGCTCAAAGATTACTCTATCTACGAGGGTTATCAGGATTATACAGAGGATGAAACATTGAAATGAGCCACAAGATTTTATCTTCCGTAAATAAACAAGGCAATGTCTAGCCAAAGATATTAAAGAAAGGCACTACTTGGGAGGCAACCCAAGAGTTTCAATCTTTAGTCATTTTTTTTGTGTTTTTATTTCATATTTTTGTGTTCAAGTGCAAGTTGTTTTGGATTCCTATTGATAAAAAATCTTTATTTGTAGATCCTGGGTGTGTTCTGTGACATTTTACTGGGTTAGATTTTGATGAACAGAAAACTATGGATTTCAAGGCATGCCCACGCCTTCCAACCATTGCGAGGAAGGAAAAAAAAAGAGCCTTGCAAGTCCATTCCACCATTCAAACAAAGAATCTAGCTCCTTTCTACTTGATTTCTATTTTTTTTTGCTACATTGAGGACAATGTAGGTTTCAGGTGTGGGGGGAAGTAGTCAAAAGTTTTTAGAACTTTATGCTATGATGATGATTGCAATTACTCTACAAGCATGAGCAATGATATTATGCGAGTTAAATATCTTGTCTTCTTAATAATGGAATTGAATGATGAATTTGCAAGACTTGACAATTAGTAACCATTTTGTGAGCTATTGAGCCAATGAGCATTTCATTGTTAACTGCTCTATTTTCTTTCATTGAGTGATATCACACATGATTTGATTGTTCTAGAACTTGCTTTGCTGTCCATGTCAAGATCACATTCCTGAGTTTGATGCATTAAAATGACAAAGGCAATTAGGTTAACCCTTTTTGGCTTTCTAAAAGACCAACCCTAATCAGATCTCCCCTATTTGGCCATGGTTGAGCCTAGCCTTTTCTTTGGTTAATAACTCATTTTGTCACCCCTAAACTTCTCGTGTTCGAACCCTCTTTGTTTCTTTTTACCCGCGTCAAAGAAATGCCTTGATTTCAGTGTATGATGATTTCAAATTGGGTTGAAGAGGATGATTGAAATTAGCAAGTGTGTGTATATCCCCATGTAGTTGGGCGTATTGAAAATGAAACATCAAAAAAAAGGAGCAAAAACAAAAAAAAAGAAAAAGAAAGAAAAAAATAGAGAAGGGGAGAAAGAGAAAAAAAGAGCACTCCAAGAAAGAAAGAAACACAAAAAAAAAAGAACAAAGAAAAAAAAAAAAGAGTTCTGAAGTGTTGTTATCAACATGTGTTCTTTTGAGATAATTGGGTGAAGTCCTTGGTTGTGCTTGCACTTGCTAATTTTTGAAAAAATTATGGGTATGTTCTGAAAAGATCATTGGAATAAAGAAGGAAGTTGAAAGTCATGCAGTGGGTCAATAGTATTTTGTTTAACATAATGAGCCTAAATTACCCGTTTGATCCTGTCCATGCCTAAACCCCATTACAACCCGCATCAAGACCCTTCGATTTTTGCATTAAATTTGGTTTTAGTGGTAGCGATATGATATATTAGCAAGCATATGGTAACATCATTTTATTGTGTGATGAGAGTGACCCTTTTTGAGCTTCATATCAGTGTGGTGAGTAATCATACTCCATTCTATAAGAGAGGGTTAAGTCTTGCAATTTCTGAATTTGATAACATTGATAGGATGATAAGGTACTTGTGTTCACATGGTGAACTGCTATATGTATGTAACCGTGGTTGTATCTCTGAGTTTTGAAATGCTTGAGGACAAGCATTGTCTTGGTGTGGGGGGAATGTCAATGGCCAAAAGGTGGGATACGTCAAACCACAGAGGGGTATAAGGCAAGGAGATCCCCTATCCCCTTACTTGTTCCTTATATGTGCTGAGGGGCTGTCCAACTTGATGAACCAAGGAATACAAAACAAAGCTATAACAGGTGTCCAAGTGGGAAAGGAATGTCCACAATTGTCTCATTTACTCTTTGCTGATGATTCTCTCTTTTGCTGTAAAGCTAGTATCCAGGAAGCTGAACAAATGAAGGGGATGTTTGCTATCTACGAGAGAGCTTCAGGGCAGGCCATCAATTATGAAAAATCTATTGTGTTCTTTAGTGCAAACACAAGTAAGGAAATGAGAAAGAACATCTGTACTGCACTAGGGAATATGAAGGAAGCGGCAAGTGGAAAATACCTAGACCTACCTATGCTGATAGGTAGGTCTAAGCAACAGGTATTTGGCTACATCGAGCAAAAGATGAAGGACAAGCTACAAGGATGGAAGAGAAACCTGTTAAGTCCAGCAGGAAAAGAGACCCTTATCAAATCTGTGGCAATGGCACTCCCCACCTACACCATGTCATGCTTCAAGATTCCCAAAGTATTGAGCAAGAACATAAGCAAGATGATAGCTGTATTCTGGTGGGGTGGGGGGAGAAAATGAAAGGAAAATGCACTGGACTAGTTGGAAAAAAATGTCTCAGGTGAAAGGTAGAGGGGATCTAGGATTTAGAGACTTAGAAAAATTCAATGAAGCACTCCTGGCCAAGCAAATGTGGAGAATACTCACCAATCCTAATCTGCTTGTAAGTAAGGTGATGAAGGCCAAATATCTAACAAAACCACAGAACTGGAGTAAAGATCCCCCAAAAGCAGCCTCTTGGGTATGGAAAAGCATAATGGGAACCAGGAAATGGTGAAAGAAGGGACAGGAAAATGAGTAGGTGATGGGAAAACAATTGATATCTGACAGGATAAATGGATACCAGGGAGTGACAATGGAAGATTAAAGACTGAAAGACATCCACAATGTACGATCAGGAAAGCAGTTGAACTAATCACGGATGGAGAATGGAACCAGGCAACTCTAAAACGTTGGTTTATAGAGGAGGATATCCAAAACATAAAGGCTATTCCAATAAGTACCACAGGGTGCCAAGATAGATTGTACTGGAGATACACCAAATCAGGCGTATTCACTGTGAAATCAGCCTATAATGCAGCAATGGAAGTAAGTCAAGAGCAGCAAAGGGGAAGGATGCAAACAAATATTGGAAGCACCAGCTATGACCAACAGAGCTCAAAAATCTGGAAGAATGTATGGTCCTTATAGCTGAAACACAAATTAAAGCATTTCATTTGGAGGTGTCTACATCACAGTCTGCCAATGAATGTACAGATAAGTTAGAGGACAGGCAAAGGTAGTCCAATGTGTAGAAGCTATTGGGAAGAGGCGGAAACAATCGAGCATATGCTATTCTTCTGCCAAAATGCTGAAACCACCTGGAAACTATAACCAGTGCAATGGGATGGTTTGAAGGATATGAGAAGCAATTTTGTAAGATGGTGGGAAGGGATATTAGGGGCAAAACAAAGGGATCACGGATAGGAGCACATTGCTCTCACCGTAAATATCCTATGGCAAATATGGAAGGCAAGAAACAGGAAAGCTTTTGAGGCAAAAGAGGCAGATCCCAGAAAGTTAGTACAGCAAGCTATAGTAGAGTGGGAAGAGCATATAGAAGCTCAAAAAGACATAAATGGAGAGTCCATTCAACAAACAACAAACTCAAGCAGTAGAGGGAAATGGATTCCAGCACCAAGGGGGCTGATAAAGATAAATACAGATGCTGCATTCTCACAAAACATGGGGAGAACAGGCATAGGTGCTGTGGCTAGAAATGTAGAAGGCAAACTGGTGAAAGCCTGGGCACGAGCTGCACACAAGACTAGTGAACCACAAATGGAGGAAGCATCAACAATTAGGATAGGAATGCAAATGGCTCAAGAAGCAAACTGGAGGGCAGTAGAATTCCAATCTGATTGCAAAGAGGTGGTGGATATGATAAACAAGGAAACTGGGTAGCAATAAAGGGTAGATATTATCCTTGAGGACATTGCGAATATGAGATGTTTGTTTGCAAAATGTACTTTCTCTTTTGTCCATAGAACTGGAAATTGTTGTGCACGTAGTTTGGCAAAGTTTGCGGTAAAGCTAACTAAAAATGTTGAATGGGAAGAGTACTTTCTCATGTGGCTCCATGAGAGTGCACAAAATGATTACAAAGGAAGCAATTCTGATGTATCCAATCTTGTACTATCAAGTTTATGAAATGATGTTTGACAAAAAATATTACACCTACTAAGACACCTTCTCACTTTCCTATAAAAAATGGCAAACTTGGTGACGCATCACACTAAATTTGTGCATTTTTCATTCGAAATTATATGGAATTACAAACTAAGAGCAGTGTTTTCATAACCGGACCAGACCGGCCGGTTCGATCGGTTGGACCGCGAACCGGACATGTCACCGGTCCAGTCTAGTGTTAAAGTCGCAAGGTAATGAAAAACCGTTGAAAACCGAGCGAACCCTTCAAACCATAAACCAGCGATTTTTTTTAAAATTTTCAAATATTCACCCAAAATTTTCAAACCAATAATAAGAATGGAGCTCTTGGGATTCGAACCCAGGTCTCCACAATCACATCAAAGGCTTGCTACCACTGGACTATATTCACAAGACAAGCTTTTTGTTGTGTACAATGCTATTTATCTTAAGTTAAAAACTAAAATCTAATTAAACAAAAGGAAACCCTAGCACTAAGACACGGACACCAAACAACACTTTTTGCTTTTGTTTCCCTTATCCTCGATTCTCTGTCTCTGCTTCTTCTCTTTTTTTTTTCATTTTTTTCTTTGTAACCTTTCCACCTCCAAATCAAATACCCATGACAAAATATTTCTCAAGCCTTCCCCATTATTATCAAGTTATAATCTTAGTTGATTTATAAGCAAGTTGGAAGCTTCAACTTTCATAAGAGTTTTTTCATTTTGATGAGTTTAATTTTTTTTCCTTTTCAAGATTTTTGTTTTCTATTTCTATTTGCAAATGATTCAGTACAAATATTCAAAAAATTTTATCAAAAGAAAAATTTCAACTAGTCCATGACAGAGATGCCGTTTGTCTTGTGATAATTGTATTATCTACTATTATAATTTTACAATTTTTTGGAGTTTCATGTATAACTTTTAGGAAATTTATTATTATCTCAATTTAAATTTAGTTTTAAATTCAAGTGTAGAGTGAAGACCCATGAAGTACTTAGCATTAAAGTTGCAAAAAAAAAAAACAAACAGAGAACCGATAAACCAACCGGTCGGACCGGTCGAACCGCAAACTGGCCCCTTCTCCGATTTACTGGCCGATCCGAGTTTAAAAACATTGACTAAGAGTTTCATCCGAGCATTCATCCGACGTTACCGAGCATTTGCCCCCCCCCTCCCGCGGAGGATTTGCCCTGTAACGTGGGGCAAACACACAATAGCACTAATGTCTTGTTTAAACGTTTTGGGACATTTGGGGCTCACCCCAAAAATGCCTTTTAAAATAGTGAACATATTAATTGCAGACCTTTCAGCTCCATGACGCAAAGAATAGATAATTAATCCCTATCTTTTACATAATTTAATTCTAGATATTTTTCGGATTATTTAAATTCCAAAACAATATAAATAAGGTTGGAGGGAGTGTTACACTTGTGTGTAATTTTCAAAGTTACACACGCCTAACCTAGCAACCTAACTACTATTGTTTTGGTTATTAATAAGGACTAATTTCATTTTGCACCTCCAAACTTATACCCTATCCTAATTTTGTACCTTAAGCTTTAATTCTAGATCCTTTACACACTAACTTCTCATATTTATTCCATGAAATATTGTACACACATCGTTATACCTCTATCACTCTACAAAGTGATAGCGTATTTACCATCATCTTACAATCTCTGTCAGTCTATCAAAAATGTGTAAATTTGCATGATCCTCTATTTTATTTAGTTTTGCTAACATTATTATCGATTGGAATTAGGTGGGATAAATCTGAGATGTTAGACTGCAAAGTATTCAAACTTAAAATTTAGCAAGCATTGTGAGAATCACTAACAAGTGCAGGGTACAAAGTGAAATTAGTCCTATTAATAATTCCGTTCTTTTAATCTTCCACAAAGTCAACTCGGGAGTCTATAGCTTTCCAATTCCGATACTTATCTGGAAGGATTTTAAGAGTCGTGGAATCTTGCGTAGAGAATTTCCTCCCTTCGTTGTACAGTCTCGTTTCACTACAGCAGAAATGGGACGAAGGACCACTGAAATTGGGGATACGTACACACAAACGGGTTGGTCCTAAAGCACAGCTGGCAACCAGCATTGTGGGGACATTCATTTCGTAGTATTATCAAGGTACACAGGAATCAAGTGCAATTATATATCTAATGTTCTAGATGAAATAATATGACTTTTAACACCTTCGCGGAATTATGTTCAACTATTCTAAGTGATACTAAAAGCTTCTCAGAATGTGATCTCAAGATTGTATAGATTAGTCAACATATGGAAGTAATTCTTTTGTGCAGATAATGCAGTCACAGTACGATGTACATGAAAGTGATGGTTTTCGGATGGACTCGTAATAGTGAATGGAGGAATTAAAACAAGCTCCACCATTAGCGTAACCATCCAATATTTCCAAGGGCCACTAGGCCTAGAAATCAAAACCTCTTTTCCGGGTTTGCTAGAGTCAATCGATACTGCTGATTCCACATTGATAAATTACTTGAACCAACATCGGATTTTGGAGGAATTTTCAAGCTAGTATCAGCATTGAGCCATCAGCCATGTTGGTTCTGATCAAGCTTATACTGCTTGTGGTTTCTGCTCTAGTTAGCTTTGCATCTTCCCAGGACCTTAGCATCACCTACAATGGATTCCGTTCTGCAAACTTGAGTCTGGATGGCATAGCTGAGGTCACGCCAAATGGCCTCTTGAAGCTAACCAATGCCACCAGGCAAGAGAAAGGTCATGCCTTCTTTCCTAATCCTGTCAGCTTCAAGAATCCTCCGAATTCTTCTGCTTTCTCCTTTTCCACCACCTTCATCTTTGTTATAGTGTCTGAAGATCCTATTTTGAGCGGCCACGGAATTGCCTTCGTGATTGCACCGACAAAAGGCCTTCCAGGAGCTCTTCCTAGTCAGTATCTCGGCCTCTTCAACGGAACCAACACAGGAAATGACACCAACCATGTTTTTGCAGTGGAACTTGACACGATCCAAAGCAAAGAGTTCAATGATATCAATGATAACCACGTTGGGATAGACATCAACGGACTGAACTCCAAACAAGCAAAGCCTGCAGGTTATTATTCCAATGACAACGGTATTTTTCAGAATTTGACTCTTTTTAGTGGTAAAGCAATGCAAGTTTGGGTGGACTATGATGGAACAGCTAAGCATATTAGTGTCACATTAGCTCCAATACGTGCTGGTGAACCAAGCAAACCTCTTTTATCTTTAACCTATGATCTTTCTTCAGTATTACATGAAACCATGTATATTGGATTTTCATCATCTACCGGTTCAGTGCTAACATTCCATTACCTTCTGGGGTGGAGTTTCAAGATGAACGGTGTGGCTCAAGGGCTTGATCTTTCTCAACTTCCTAAGCTCCCACGAGTTGGACATAAGAAAAAGTCTAAAGCATTAACAATTGGTTTACCTATAATTTTGATTGCTTCCCTGTCAATTGGAATCTCTGGTGTAATCTATCGTGTGAGAATAAAGAAGAAGTTTACCGAAGTGCTTGAGGAGTGGGAGCGTGAGTTTGGTCCTCACAGATTCAAGTACAAAGATTTGTATATCGCTACAAAGGGTTTCAGGGACAAGGGATTACTAGGAAGAGGGGGTTTTGGTAGGGTATATCATGGAGTCCTGCCTAGCTCCAAACTTGAGGTTGCTGTCAAGAGGGTATCTCATGAATCCAGGCAAGGAATGAAACAATTTGTGGCAGAAATTGTCAGCATAGGCCGGTTACGCCATCGAAATTTGGTTCCACTTTTAGGTTACTGCAGGCGAAAAGATGAACTGCTATTGGTTTATGAATACATGCCAAATGGAAGCCTGGACAGGTTTCTATACCAGCAGCCTGAGTACACTCTGAACTGGAACCAAAGATTTCGAGTCATAAGAGGTGTAGCATCTGGATTGTTTTATCTACATGAAGGATGGGAACAAATAGTGATCCATGGAGATGTAAAGGCCAGCAACGTCCTGTTAGACAGTGAATTGAATGGAAGATTAGGAGATTTTGGGCTTGCCAGATTGTATGATCATGGAACAGACCCTCAAACAACTCATGTTGTTGGAACACTTGGATACCTCGCGCCAGAGCATACTAGAACTGGCAAGGCTACAACCAGAACAGATGTATACGCCTTTGGGGCCTTTTTGCTTGAGGTAGTTTGTGGCAGAAGACCAATAGAGCCGCACTCCCCAACAGAGGATGATATTTTGGTTGATCGGGTGTTTTCTTGCTGGAAGAAAGGGCAAATTCTTGAAGCAGCTGATGCAAACATGGGACTTGATTATGTGAAAGAGGAGGTGGAATTGGTTATGAAGCTCGGATTGTTGTGCTCGCAGTCAGAGCCCACAGCAAGGCCAAGCATGCGTCAAGTTGTTCTATACTTGGACAGCGCCTTGGCACTGCCAGATTTACAGTCACTTGGGATTTCTGCCACTGGCCTGTCTTTTGCAAGTCAAGAAGGTTTCAGTGATTTTAACTTATCATACCCATCCTCAATGGACAAGCCATTTTCACACGCTTCCTCCTCTGCTGCAGAATCGCTACTGTCTGGAGGTCGGTGATGGAGGACAAAGCTTTCGGTTAATGACTTTGGGAAAATTATGCAATTGATGTAATTGCTGATCAATAAGACATTGGCTTTCTGTTTAGTTTGGCATTAGGGAGTAAGCGATGTACATAAAGAACAAAAGCTAGCCATTAATGAGAATTTAGTAGGTTTAAATGAGA